ATTTAAATACTTTATATTTAAATACTTTATATTTACATGGAGGGGACCCTCTCTACGGAGGTCGCCATGTTGTTTACATGAGTCCAGACTGAACAAACTAAAACCTTCTGAGTTTTTATGAAAACTGAAGCTGCCACAGGTTCTTCTTCATGTTTGGAAGGAGAGGGGGAGGGGTGAGGGGTTCAGCTGCAACATGACACGTCACCACTAGATGTCACTAAATTCTACACACTGGAACTTTAACTTACAGTACAGGCCCCTGGTCACGTGACTGAAGGTCAGTCTACAGGTACGTTTGCTACATATGACGTCACTGACCGTAACATGGCGGCCATGACGTGATTCAGATGAGACGTAAACAACAACAAACGAACCAACTCGGTTTCGAGTCGAGTGTTACGTCGTTATTAAGGATCACGTGTGTGTTAATGATCAGTGATCAGAAATAACTTCACCAATAATTGAACTCAATGGAAACTGGCCATTAGCTCGGTGCTAACATGCTAACATGCTAACCGGAATGAGACAGAACTGGATTAAAAGTGATCGACAGGTCAAAGGTCACACACTGACCGAGGAGGTGATCTTCTTCCTTTTCCTCTTCTTCTTCCTCTTCTTCCTTTTCTTCCTCTTCTTCTTCCTCTTCTTCTTCTTCTGCTGTTTGTGGTCACACAGTCCGGAAATGAAGCTCAGGTGTGGTCACGTCAGGTGAGTTAAAGGGAAAGTTCTCTTAAAGCTGATGTCACCAACCCGTCGATCTGTGGTGGATCCCTGTGGATCCCTGTGGATCTCCTGTGGATCCCCTGTGGATCCCCTGTGACCCTCCTGTTGGTTTATCTCCGTGTTTCCTCGCATACAAGTCATGAACTAAACTTAATGTCAAGACTCTAACGCACAAAGACCTGCAACTTCCGGTTTGTCGATAACAAACAAAGCCCCCTTAGAACAAATGAATGGATCCAGAAAGTGAAACGCTTTTACTCTGAAACGGCTACAGGAAGTATCTATTCGTGTTTGTGACAAACTCTTCAGATAAACAGAGAAAATGATGTTTCCTGAGTTTCAGTGGGAAAGAACCGGTTCCATGTCTTCTAGTAAAATCTACAAGATGGAGCGAAGAGGGAGTTTGAAGGTGAAAGGAAAACTACTGGGATTCAGAGGGAGAAGAAGAGCTCTGATCATTAATCACCTGGTTACATGGAGCCCCCTACAGGCTTGTTGGAGGAAGTGCAACCTGTGAGGAAGGTGGCCATGGTTCGGTGCAGTGTTTCCAGACAGGCACGTGATGTGCTATGGAGACATTTGAAGTATTCTTTTAATAAAAACTGCCAGTTTGAGGTTAGAAGCATCTGTTTCTGTTGGAAACTGTAAATGTGTGAGTGAACAGACCTTTTGTAACTTTTCTAATGGCCTCGCCTCGAGCTGCCCTCTTCTGGCGTTTGGTAGAATCATTGATTTATGGACTCTGGTGTTGAGGCATATAGTAGATGCTGGTTTCAATAACACAGAGGCAGTGGCATCTCTACTTGGTGTCAGGTCTCGTCACGGCACCAGGGACATTCTGAACATCTGGATTAAAACACTAACTGATAACTGGAATTGCTGCAGGAAGGTCAATCAATCAATCATCACATTTGATTTGTCTCATATTCAGTTTGTCTCATATCCAGTTTGTCTCATCGATGTCAACAAGCAGCAACGTCCTCTGTCCTTCACTCAACAAGAGTCAAACTACAGAGACACTTTCTGAGCAGTAACTGAAGCTCAGAGTCTCATGTGAGGATCCGTCTCCAGGACACGAGGACAATAGATGCTGATGAACTGAAGACATCAACACAACAACAGATTCACTACATTAGAAGAAACAGTTTGTAACTTCAGGTTTAAAGTATTTGTACATGAGAACATGTCTGATAGAGATGAAGGAGGAGTTACTGATGAAGATGAGGAGACATGTTGTGTGTCCACAAGTCTTGTGATCATGGTCAATGACCCACGATGTGACCACAGGTGTGGTCCTGCATCTGAAAAACTAAACATAAAGAGGTTTCAGATTTCTACATGGCAACTGGAAACACTAAACACAAGTGTTGTGTAAAGGCCTGAAACCAACTGAATGTTAAATAAGAGGTCGGCTCATCTTCAATGGGGCTTCAGCTGTTCACGTGTTGGTAGCTAAAGAAGCTAAAGTAGCTAAAGAAGCTAAAGTAGCTAAAGTAGCAAAAGTAGCTAAAGTAGCTAAAGTAGCAAAAGTAGCTATAGTAGCTAAAGAAGCTAAAGTAGCTAAAGTAGCTAAAGAAGCTAAAGTAGCTAAAGTAGCTAAAGAAGCTAAAGTAGCTAAAGTAGCTAAAGTAGCTAAAGAAGCTAAAGTCTCCAGTGTCTCTGTGAGGGATGAGAAGCTGAACTTCTCCCACAGATTGGATCTTCACTCAGGAGGTTTGATGGAGAATCTCCAGGTTCACGGCGGCGGCTTCGTTCAGTGGACGGAGCGGTCGAGTTCTCTAATTCTATAATGGTCAGAAGTGAGTTCCTGTTTGTTGCATAGTGAAACACAGACTTTGGTTTTATATGAAAGGATTGAACGGAAATATCATTACTACACATAGTATTGCACACACAATACTACAGACAGTAGTACATAATACTGCACATAATACTACAGAGAGTACTACAGACATTATTACGAACAGGACTACCCACAGTACTGCACACGCAGTACTACACAGTTCTACTCATAGTAGTACACACAGCACTAGATCCACAGTGCTAGGCACAGTGACCTACTACATACACAGTAACGCAGTATTTGAGTAAAGCGATGCAGTATTTGTGTAACGCAGTATTTGTGTAACACTGTACTTTTGTAATGTAGTATTTGCATGGAGTGATGCAGTATTTGTGTAACGCAGTAT